GTGTCTACCTTGGACGCAGCTCTGTTCCCTGTCACGCATTTAAAACCAACTGTCTAAAGCAGGATTTTGGATTCCATTCCCAAGGCCAGGCACTTATGAATTGAATGTTGAATAGCCCTACAGTGTGACGCTTGAGTCCTTCGTTACAATTGGTCCGATGTAGAAAAGTTAAGCTCTGATCACAGTTAAAATCTCTGCAGTGAGCGACAATCGTTGTTACAGTCCAGGTTGAAAGCAGATATTCTGTTTTCCTCCACTGTACACTCAATGCAAAAAAGAAACCCCAAACCAACATCATTACATTTGATGGCTCAGAGATTTTACAAGCAAAATATACTATAGTGGCGGGGTTTTTTAAATTGTTATTTTCAATTATGCTTTTTGAGCTTTGTACAAATCCTTTTACTAGCTATCTAAATGTTTGCATTAAAGGCCAGGAAGGAAACTGAGTTTGAATGTAACACATTAGCACCCTCAGGCCACTGGTTAATCTAGTAATCAGCCATGTGGATGCCTATAGAAATTAATTATAATGGTAGGAAGCTCCATTCTCAAAGTTGAATGGTCAATTATCCATCACAGCTGCTTTATAATTCAGGCTTCCAAAGCTGGCAATTCTTACACAGTTATTCGAGCAAAGGAAAACAGTAAAGGTCATGTAACTAAACATTAGAGATGCTGTATTTATTATTCCTAACATCAATGCAAAGCCAAGCCACAACAGAATACAACACATTAATTTTCAATATTAACCCTGTTTGCTTTCAGCTCCTTGAGGAGGTGATTTGGTTCTGTACAACTCAGGATTTCTGATTGAAACAGGTCTTATTTAAATGGCATGCTATGTAGACCATACATCTGTATATAGATCAGGGTAAGGTGGCTGTTGTGTTGCATCTGGAATCTCTTGCCACTGGCAGGGGGTTAGGAATACCCTTCTCATAGAGGAGCACTCCAAGAGGAAAAAATGAACTATCACCATGAAACCTCCTTCAAATACTAACATATTGTTTCATCCAGTTTCTGAACTGTTTGAAGATCCCCTGGTAGAAGTTCTGGAAGCTATTTAAAATTGGCTTTTAAGGGTCAACTGAGTACTACCTTCTAAACACGATTGCTGTTGCTGAAGCAAGTCAGCTGAGACGGTGGCTTGATTGTGCTCCTTAAACTTGAGGCACACACATTTTCTCCTGCCTCAATTTTTCCCTACTTGTTCTACTAGCCCTACACTTTGAGATAACAGTGGGAGTCTCCTGGCAAACTGGTTAGTGTTTAATTGAGACAGAAGTACCAGATAACACAGGGGTTAGACAAAGAGAAATTGCCCTCCTTTTCTTCAAGAGATCTCCCAGTGTGGAAGAATTCGCACTGCTAATTAACAGTTTTGAAAACACAGCCAGGATTGTAGATGCAAATTTGTTCATTCTTTTGGTTTTTGTTTTCAACATATTGAAGCCTTGCTCAAGGTTTCCCTCTGCACTGTGAAATGAAACCAGTTAAGTGGACAGCTGCAGTAGCTGCTTCAGTCCCCTGGCAAGGCTCCATCTGCAGAAGAGATGAGATCAGGCTCTGTACTGCTCCAAGAAAAGCACTATCCACAAAAAATACAAGTGGGATATAAATATGGTGGAACGAGCAGCTTTCCATTACATCTACCATTCCATCTACATCTACAAGAGTGGACTGACAAGGAACTGTGGCAATAACCTACACACCAGGAACACCACAGATTATAGTAAAACTTTAACATAATTACTTTTGGGTTTTACTCTGTTACTAGCTAGACATTCATATTGCAGTGTGACCCTGTTGCAAACAGTTTAGTTTGCAAGAAACTGTAGCTCAGTACAAGCAACCAGAAACAGACATAGTATTTAATCTTATGTGGGCCTTACTAGAATAAGCCATTTAAAATAACATTATACATGGTAGAAAATAACAGTCTAAGCAGCACCTTAATGAAGAAAAGTAGAAAACATTGGTAGTGTGGGATTAACTCATGGGCTGAATGTAGGCTCTGTAACACCTTATAAAATGCCCAACAAATATGATACAAGGGATGAGAGATACATCCCTTTGAAGGGACATCTAGAAGCCAGTCCAGCTACCACACCAGCAACCTGTACCACTAGGTACTACGGACTTCTCGGGTCATGTCTAAGGCAGTATATCTTCCAGGCACTCTCTGAACACTTCTTGCTTCTGCAAGCATCCATGAATTTAGGAATAATGACCTAGGTCGCAAATGCTCAGATGCAGGCATTAGGGATGTGGGGCTGTCTGACAGCTGGGAAGCGGGACAGGTCATGAATAAGCAATGTCAAATACCCCTTAATACTTCTGGAAACTTGATGATCTTCCCACATGAACTCTTTATAAGATCAACCTCCCCTGGGTAACAGCAAAGTTTTTGTTTTGTTTTGTTTTTAATATAAAAAGATACAAAAAGGAAGATGGGTCACTTTGGATGTTTAAGTTGAAGTGGCAAATAAGCTGACACAAACTTAGAGCTACATGCCAGACAGCAGAAAATAAACAGCCTGCCAAGCAGAGGAGACAATGACATGGTAACACTAGGCACCAGGCATGTACCTCCCCCTCTCACACCAGTCAAGTTTCACACGCTTCTTCTATCTCTAGATGCCAAGTCTGGTCTGTGCTACACTTGGTTGGGCTAGGGTGGAGGGCATACCATCAAGAGTACCTCCTGGCACAGATAAAGGTATTCCTGAAAACCAGATCAACTCCTAGTCATAGGAAAAATTAATAAGGACTGTTTTAAACACACCTAATTCTGTGGACCAAATTCTGTGGACCAAATTCTGTCCCTTTTCAATGTAGATGGGGAATTTGGCAGGATTGCTCACCTTTTTGAATGCTTTTTGATCAATCCAGCCTACCTTGTATACACCAGGTTGCCAGGTTGCAACTCTATGCACAGAACCTGCACTAGCTCTGAGTACCATTCCCCAAGCTCTAAGAGCATATTTCCCATGAACTACATAAAAGAATCAATGTTGCCAAGTCCTTCAGAGGAACCCTTCAGAAAGAAAAATTGCAATATCCCCCTTCTCCCTTCCGGCCTCACTGGAAAGAAGATCTAGAACAACTTCTCTCAGTTTCCATCTGTGGATTTAAAGGAACAGGGTATATATCTTTCCATTTTCTGTGCTTTCAGTAATTTAAATATTTAAATTACTAAATGAGAATATTTAAAAGGTTCCTCAGTGGGGAAAATGGATAGGAGAGCGCTTTGAACAGAAAGTAATGAAAGAAAAGGTCTTACCACTGATTCTCTCATCTTTTCTGGGAGTGGATCTGTTGATGAATCTTCAAATTGTTGACGTAGGAAGTGAGGGACATATTTGCACTGAATAAGCGACCTGTTAAAAAAACCCAAACCACCTGGTTAGGATACTTCTGAACATGTCTAACAAATATAAATATTCCTGGAGGGCAAAGGAGGAGGAACAGCCTCAGATTTCCTTCCTCATGTATGCAGTAGCTATTTTATCTCCGCATAGCTGGAGACTGACACAAACCATCTCTACCTGTGATCAGGGTAGAACTTCTTTGTCAGAATGCTGAGGAGTGTCAGCAGTCCAATCAATGTGACCCAGTCATTTAGAGGAATAAGCAGAGAGGCTACTGTTGCATTCATGCCCTTTATTAATGTTTCAGTATGGAAGCTGTTTAGATCCACATTAGAAAGGCCAAAGATGCTATTTCTGTATAAATTGTACATTAATCCTCTGTTCAAGATTTATGTGCTACTTCCTCCTCCATCTTGAAGTTTATGCCACAGGCCATCCCTTAAAGACTGTTTCCAATCTCCTTAGTTTTCTTTAATTAAAGTTCAGAGCTGTTAAAAAAAAAAATCTTAAACTTCTTTTTTTAAAGATTATAAACTTATTTATCATCATTGCACAATAAACATTTGATGTTGTTGTACATATATTCTTAATCTTAAGGTATTTAACAACCATTTCAGCTACTGAAGATTTGATTAAGAATGTTATGAAATCAGTAGCTAGATTTAAAAGCTAAAATGGATTTAATGGTTTAAGATTACTTTCTTAAAACAAAAGTCTTAAGGAAAGACAAGTCTGTGTTTTATTAAAGAAGTTAATGAACTGGCGTGTCCTTCCTGGGGAGTGGGAGAGAAGAATACATTTAAATTACTTCAAAACTGAAAGAGCTCACACACTGATTTGCAATTTACCTGTGTATATTTTACTCCAAGACTAAACAAATCTCCCCAGTACAGCACACAGCTTCATTTCCTTCCATACCCAAGTTCCATACTGTAACAGCCAAAGAACTACACACCACCTACACAAAATCCAGGTCTAACTGAGGCTTTGGATAAAGTTAATGGCAAGAGATATAAGAAGTTCTTGCTGTTTTGCCACATTAGAACCTAGTAATGTATAAATATCAGATTCTCTGAATCTTCCGGATGGTAAAAGAAGGACTTTCTCAACTCTTCAGTAAGATTTACTGGGATGCCAATTTTCTGCTAGTCCCCTATATCCTTTCCTTCCTCAACAGAACTCTTCTCCTTTTCCCAAGTTTCTCTCCTCAGTTATAATCTTGAATGACCACGACCACTCCCATGACAGTCATACAGTTCCCACACAGGAAAACTCAGGTTTGCCACCCTTGAGCTATGGATCTATGGGCCTCTTTCACATCACCTCAACATAGAGATCATAATATTGGGACTTGTCCCCTGGATCTCCCTTGTTCGCAAAGTCAGCTCTTCATACACACTACCTTTCCTCAGCTACCTCCAGCAGAGTGTATCAGAGCAGAAAAGGAAGGAGTTAATCTCAGAGAGGTATAGCCTACTGACAGCAACCCTCAGCCAGAGCTGGAATTGAGCCATCTTCCCAGCTCATCAAACATCCTTCCTCCATGCCACAGTGCTGCCCAATGCATATTTTGCAACTGTGGTAGCCTGAGAACCCCCCTCAACTAAATCGCTATCCTCCAACATGGCAAGCACACAATTTCCCAGTGGGCGAAGTCTGCTTCAGAGAATTTGGATAGTGCTGTTTAAAGAGCATCAGCCTACCTGGCAATCTGACTGCAGTACTTCATTCATTTACAGGACTGATACCAACCAGGCAGATATGGCAAGGAATTTCCACCTCACCACAGTACTTTCAGGAGCCAATCCCCGTGGTTCTGAAACCCAGGCATCACACTTGTTGTGTGCTCTACATAGTAATCAATAAATATCATTTGCAGGCAACTTACATCAGTACAGATGGGTCACTGCTTTGCCTGCTGAGGTGATAAGAAAGTGCAACTAGCAGACCACAGAAAGCAGAGAACAGTGCTGGAATGTGTTGTGCATCCCAGGGTTCCTGAACAGAAGGACAGAAAACAAAGTATTTGTAAGTTAGGAATGCAGAACTTAAAAAAAAGTAGGCTAAGCCATACATGCAGTTTTAAATGCACAGCATCTAAATTTGTACACCATCTAACAAGGACTGAAAATCCTTTTTCATATCAAAGTCTATTATTGTGAAAAAGACTGCAACTAGAGGCATGTTTTGTGATCATACTATGTAATTCCTCTATAATCAGCAATTAGTCAGGAAACCACATGAAAGGTAGGGTGTTTTTTCCTTCTTAATGAAACACTAGAGGCAAATTCTCATTAAAATGAGATGCAAGTGAAATGAACTGCACTGTATTTGTCTAAACTCTGAACTGACACATAGTTTCTTGACCTGTGGACAGACTGCATGCAACAAATGCCAATGTCATCTATATCAGGCAGTGGGGTACAGTTCTTGCACCTCACTCTCAAATCTTTCTGCTGCTTTGTACGTTACACCCAGGTCCTGCCTGGGGGCTAACACAGTGGAGAAGGAAAGCACTTGCCACTGTACGTGACATCCCCGAGCAGGGAAAGAAGAGACAATTTACACACTCGCCAGCACACTGGGCAAAATCAAGATGAGAAACTGTCTCTGGGTGACTTAAATGGAAAAAATTGACTAGAAATAATAAGAGAAAGAATATGAATCTTAAGGAACACATCAAGACCAGCTTCATCTGTGGAGTCCCCAGCTACAAATTAGGGATCCTAAGACATACTTCTGAGTCCTGGCTGTAAAAGAACACAAATTTTGTCTGTGAAGGATGCAGAAATGCAGTGGAACAGATCCATAACTATTTAACTTATTAGGCTTGCTCAATGCCTCCACATAATTTCTACCTGATCAAATGAATGTGAGGTTACCAGATCCTGACATCAGAGCACTTTCTGGGTAGGTTTTGAGAGATAACGCTTGCAAGACCTGTGCAACTTCCTTGTTCAGCTAGGGTGAATAAGGCATCTTCTCTAGCATGCCTTTTGCTTGAAAAACTTCACAACTTCCCATTGGTACAGGACCAATACTTTCACAGAATAAAGTGCTTTTATCGATCTTATTTTCCCAAGTGATATGCATGATTCTTAGGAAAACTGACTCAAATTAAGAAAGATTTCATTTGTTTCAGGGGCAATGAATACCTGGGTAAGACAAACTAATCCACTATGAAGGGACAAACCACCTGCTGCAACATGAAGTTTCTTTAGAATTTAAAGATTAAATTCCCATTATCCTAAGAACTCGTATCACAGAAGTGATATTTTAATTCCAAGAATCACCTTCCCCACATCATTCTACTGAACATCACAAAGATGAAAGAAGTGTTTAGTTCTATCAAACAATTCTACTTAAAACAGTCATTACAAACAAGAGAGTGTTACATGGTATTACTGAAAGAATCCAGCACCACTTGTTTGACAAGTTATTTCATTTTTCCTAGTTTTGGGGTCAAAGATTTTGGGTTAACTTTTCCCATGCTTAGTCTCAGGTAAGAAATTCATATTCTTCAAAACACTGAAGAAAACTAACTGGAGTCAAAATGTTCTGAAAATGTCTGAATTGCAGCCTATCCAAATATCCATTGCCTTTCCAGGGCAATACAACTCCATACAGATCCACCCAGATTCTTCCAGTGTGTGATTGACCCCTTGCCCTGCAACTTACTTCGAAAGCAAAATACTATAAAAAGTCCAGCAATATACCTCAGTATTGAAATGTATCAGTAGCCAGTTTGAGAAATCATTCTGTCCTATTTCTACTGTAAAAGTGCACACAGCTGATCCCTCATATTCATGACTCAGAAACTCTTTCCTTCCATATTTTCTGTATATTACACATAGCTTCTCCATTTGGCTGGCCTGTGCTCCAGTTCCAATGTGTCATTGCCCCCTCAAAGCTCAGCTGCCAGGGAGTCAGGAAGGCAGGCAGGACAGGCATCAGTATTTGCTATGTGCTTAGAGATCAGGAATTTCCAGAATAATGCTACAGAATGTTGTACAAAAGATGAAAATAAACAAGGGTGTCATTACTCCAGCAACAATGTGATGTACCCTGCTTCATCTTCCTCCCCCACTAATGATGTCTGGTAGAGCTTTAAATTAAAATGATATATACCTGAAAACTGGACGATGATTCTTCTCAGTGGGAAAGCAGGACAGGAATGACGGGTTTTAGTCTGGGAAACAGGTATTATCTGTCATATGAGACAGGGAGATTGACTTCCTACTTTACCTCATTTGGTTGAGGTGACATGTAGTGCTTTCATAGAGTTTTGACTTTGATGCAGACGCTCATCTAGTCATTTTTAAAACAAGTGAAACGGACTTACAGGGTTAAGGATGAAAGTGATGAGTTACAACAGACACAGCGGTCAGGGTGATGGTGTTCCATTTCAACCACAGAACTGACTAATCCCAAAACAACCCCCTAAAAAGGAAGATAAAGGTGTCTTTGAACTTACAAGCCTTTTAGCATTCATAAAGGTGGGGAGGAAGATGTATTTTTAAAAAGTGGTGATACCAGTTTTCTGTCCTGCATTATTTATCGTTTTTGCTTCTTTCTTCCTTCAAGAAAAAAAATGCACATAGCAAACTCTTGTCATTCAAAGATTTGCTAAAATAAATCATACATCCTACTCCAGAGACAAGAAGTGCTCTAAACACAGCAGAACCATTGTGGTAAGTAGAAATTCTTGCCCTTGCTACCTTCCCCATTCTGCACACCCCCCCAGTATTCCTCCCAACTCAAAGAATTTGCAGATTGCTGCAGCATTAGCATCACTGAAGGTGTCTGCATACTGACTGGCTTTTTAAACATGGAGACAAACTCCAGTTATTCTTCACAAAGAAGAGACATCTAATTTTCCACTCTCTTGTGATTTCATCACTATTCAACCAATTTTTCTGTAGGGTCTTTCTCCTTACTTCCACTCTCCAGCTTCAACATGGGTCTACGCCACTGCTCACATCAAACAATATTCAGGATAGCTGTTGATAGTCAGCCATTCCACACATGTGACGGTAAACTGTAAAGCATCATCCTGCTTCTCAACATATAAATACCTTCTGAATGAGATGAGAAGGGAATCCTCCCCCTGCCCCCAAAGGTATGAGAAAATGGTAACGACGACTTGTTCTCCACAAGGTTAACTATAAGCTTAACTGTATTAACATGGATACTTGTTTTCAGTGAACACTAACAACCAGGAAATGTAAATTATTCATGGACCTCACATTACACTGCTTAGAAACAAATTCTGGGGAGAGATGCGCACCAGTCCCATCTTCCCATCATCCATGGAAAATAAAACATTACTTTCCCAGAAGAGCTCCAAAAATCTGACAAGTGATAAGCTACAAGAACACAGATATCATTACCCATTCTGAGCAATGTTGTCTCTGTTTCTCTGCACTCCAAACTGTTATCTGTGACCATATTTTCATTGCTGAAATTTTAAATCTACAAGGATGGGATTGATCCAGGGGTATGCAAGTGTGTGTACGTGCCACCTTACACAATAAGTCTAGGATTCCTCAGCTAGAGAGTAAGATGAGCAACAACTTCAGGAAGGGGGCATGTGTGAATACTTATGTTTCAGATAATAGTGAGTTTATCCTAAACAAGAAGTGCAGATTCATACATTCCTATACAGTGACGTATTTCTGTAAGAGTAGCCGTGGGCCATATGAGATTCTACAGATGTAATTTACTTTTTCTGTTATATCTGGACAGTAAGTTCACATTATACATGCAGAAAACTAAGAGCACAGCTATTGAAGTTATGACTAAAGTGCGAGTCTGACTGTGGCTGCAAACATTGCTCACTGAAATGCACGATGTTTGACAATTCTCTCCAAAATTAACACTCCTAACAGCTCTTGCTTGAACCTCAGGGGTTTACAGATTGGAAAGTACATAAAATTGATGAGCCTTGTCTTCCAAACCTCCAACAGGACTGAAGTATTTTATGCGGTAGAAACAAAGCTGTCTAATAACGCTAGACTTCTATTTTTGGTCACTTACACATCCAGGAATTTTGTCTATACACATGGGCCCATTCAGTGCTGTTTAGCAATTTATTTGGGCAGTCTTAGCAGATGGAGAGAGACATATGCCTGCAATTCTTTCCCATTATAAAACCCTAGACAAATATTTCAAAATTATTAGTACACAGACAAAGCCTGCATCATTGAAAACAGGAATTAAGAAGCATTGTTATTCTGATTAATGTGTTTAAAACTCATTAAATAACAAGCCAAATGACATCAACCTGAGCTGAGAATGGTTTAAAATACACACAGGAATTTTAGTAACTGTTCACTGAAGTGATAAATAAGTTACCAGAAAATACCTTCTTCAGGTAATGGAAACTATAGAACTTTCATTTAAAAAGAAAAAAAAAGAAAAAAAAGAAAAAAAAAGGAAAAAAAAGAAAAAAGAAAAAAAGAAAAAAAAAGAAAAAAGAAAAAAAGAAAAGAAAAGAA